GGCCCTTGGCGGGATAGTGGGGAGGTGGTCCAGGCGCTCCTGGCTCCCAGGTCTCCCCTTCACCACCCTGAGCCCCGAGCAATGCGGCCACGGGAACTGGCTCAGAACTAGCAGCAAAAGCCCTGGAGGGACAGGGTCAGGTCCACGAGGGTCCTGCTTCTGGGGCAGGGGGAGGGGGCAGTGCTGGAGCTGGGAGGAGGGTCTGGTCTGTCTCCCGGCCCTTCCTGCCCCACCGGAGCTCTGGCAGCTCCCAAGAGGCCCCGTCACTGTCTCTCAGAGGACGCGTGTCGTGTTGCAGCTCCGGGAGCCTCACTCACCTGCCCTGGAACTGTGGGCAGCGCGGCTCTGCCGAGTGCCCGGCCCCTCCCCCTCCCCCGGCCGGCCTCTGTTCTGTGCCCCTTGTCCCCAAGTGGCAGTGCCACCCTCTGTCTCCCCTTTGGGGAGGGTGAGTGCACCTCGTCCCCTGCCCCGAGAAGGTGGGGTCCCGGCAGCTTGTACGGGGCCACAGTACCCTTAGGACCGGGCTGTGCAGGTGCCAGGCTTCTGGAACGACCTAAACTCTTACCTGAGGACGGGACTTGGGCTCAGGTTTCCTGGCCAGCAACAGCATCTGAGTATTAATGAAAAGGGGCCAATGTCTTTTACTTTAAAATAAAACCTTATGGAACAATGGCGGTTACCTTGGGGGTGTCGGGGGATGGATGGATACCAATTATGCCTCATAATTTCTACCTTAGATGCGTTCTTCTATTCTAGGCCGTATCACGTGTCTTCTAGAAGCTTACAGCAACGTCAGTGGAAGAGCTGCGTGTTGCTGCAGTTTTGAAGCATCTCATTTGTGTCGTGAGGTTAAGTGCATCACCCAGGCAGGGGTAATGGGGCCCTACAGCACCCATTACAGGGCGGTGGTTACGGGTCAGAACAAGCTCTGCCCACTTGGTGCTCAGGATGTGAGAGTTAGGCGGGAGGGGGCCTTGACGGAAACCGGGGTCAGAGGCGGTTGGGGGTGGATATCAACTCAAACGTCTCCCATCAGATTTGGGGGTGAGCCCAGCAGGCTGCACTTTTGCCTTCCAACACCTAGGGGCACTGCCTTCACCAAGCTGTGGCAGGAAGGGGACAAGGGGCAGTGCCCCTGGTGGGTGCAGCCAGGAGTCCCCAGCGTCATCCTGAGCGTGGATTAGTCTTGAGGAAGCACAGCCAGACTGCGGGGTATCTACGGGGCAGCTGTCCCGGGCTCTTCCAGCGGGAGCGGGAGCGGGAGTGTGGTGTAGGTCAGAGGAGAACAGGGGCGTGCGATCAAACGCCGCACTGGCCCTCGACTGGGGCCTGGACGAAAAGAAGTGACACAGGCCATTTGGGGGAACACAGATGGGATATTTGGTGATATGCTCACGTGAGTGTTAAATTTCTCAGATGTGATCATGGCGTTGTGGTCAACCAAATGCCCAGATTCTAAGATGACACAGGCTGAACAGCTTAGGAGTGGATTTTCATCAAATATTCCAGAAGAAGTTTTTAAACTTAAATTTAGCCTATGCGCAAGAAATGTAAAAATCAAATTTAAATATTCATACATATTTTTGGTACGTAATGTTAGGTTAAGATGATTGGTAAAGGACTCTCAATCATAATAAATTCTATTACAGTGAGACCCTGTAGAGGACGTACCATGGAAATACAATTTTTTTTTTTTTTTTTTTTTTGCGGTACGCGGGCCTCTTACCGCTGTGGCCTCTCCCGTTGCGGAGCACAGGCTCCGGACGCACAGGCTCAGCGGCCATGGCTCACGGGCCCAGCCGCTCCGCGGCATGTGGGATCTTCCCGGACCGGGGCACGGACCCGTGTCCCCTGCATCGGCAGACGGCCTCCCAACCACTGCACCACCAGGGAAGCCCTCAAATTGTGAACTTTAACCTTCTCCCAGGCTGGCAGCATGCGGTCGGACGCTCCCTCTGATGCTGGGCAGTGGTGGCTGCAGCCCCGCCAGCCCCACCATCACGAGGGTGAACAACCTTCAGTGCACTGACGACCATGCTGGGCCCAGAGAGCCACTCTGTTTTCCGCTATCAGTACAGTATTCCATCAGTTACAGGAGACACTCACTTTACTATAGAATAGGCTTTGTGTCAGGTGATTTCGCCCAACTGCAGGATAATGTGAGTTTACACCGAGCACGTTTAAGGGGGGCAAGGCTCAGCTTTGATGTTTGGGAAGTTAGGTGTATTAAATATATTTCAACTTAACAAGATATTTTCAACTTACGATGGGTTCATTGGGATGTAATGCCGCTGTAAGTTAAGGAAGATCTGTTTAAAAGTTCACGGTATGACAGAATTTATGCCCCTTGCATATTTAAACTTGGGTTTCAAAATGTAGAAATCAACTTAGAATTCTCTGATGATATATATATATATTTATTATTATTTTTTTTAATGTTTTCAGGGGCTGCACACGAGCCAGTGCTCCTGGGGGCTGCCGAGTTGATGCTTTCCTGCTTACCAGTCTGCAGGCCTTGGGGGAGAGCTGGGGAGGGTGTGGGCTGATTGGGGAGCGGGGTGGGTTCTGCGGGGGTGGCAGGGCTGGTCAGCCCTCCCCCACCGTCATTGAAGGTCCTCCAAGTTAGCACGTGTGACTGATGTGTTATCAAGACTGTCAGGCCCAGCTGGGTCAGAGGTGGTAGGCCGAGAGGCGGCGATGTCCAAGCAGATGGTGGGCACCGGGTGCTCTCGTGGCGGGGGCAGGTGGGAGGGGCCTGGACTGCAGCTGCTGACGTGCCTTAGGACGGGGTCTGGCCCACAGGGAGCAAGGACACCAGACCCACATCTGGGCATTGGGGACAGACTGACAACCAGGGAGGACAGCCGACTGCAGCCAGGAGCCCCGGCCAGGCTCACCTCCAAGCGGGGCTGAGGGGCCGTTCCAGATGGGGGTGCGGCTCTCTGGGGCCTCTGGGGACGGACTTCCTCGACCAGAGATTCAGGAGATGGACCGGGGACTGGGACTTGTTAAACAGATTCCCGAGGGAAGGCCTGTGTCCGCACAGAGGCTCGCTGGGGAAAGTGCGGGGCCAGAGGCCGCACACCTGCTGCCGTCGGCAGGTGAACAGGTGAGCAGACAGACTGGAGACCGCCCTGCCATCTGAGGCTGGACTGCAGGTCCCATGCGGGCCTCTTTATGTGAACCTCTAGCAAAGGAAGCTTGATCCCGTGTCAGGAAGCCCAGAGGGGCTGCCAGGGGCTGGGGGGGGGTGTGGAGCTGCTTGGTCGTGATGGGTCAGCGGTCCGACAGGTGCCCTCACACTGCGCAGGTGTGAGCGATCCCTCTGTGCAGCTGATTCTCCAGCAGGTCTGGCACGGACCTGGGGAACCTGCTTCTAACAGCATCACAGCTGACGGGCCGATCTTCGAGCTGGCTTTTGGGGACCCTGGTTATTGTGGCCCACACGGTTATTTTGCCTGACCCAGGATGGCGGGGTGGGGAGCAGCCTGGTCTCCTGGGGCCGGGGGTGCAGGGAGCCCGCCTGGTGGCAGGTGCGGGTCCAGATGCCGGGCGGCAGCGTCAGGTCTGGTCAGAGCCGTTCTCTCTGGTCCCAGAAGGCAGCTGGCCCCAGGCCTGGCCTGGCTGATGTGTGAGTCTGTGCTTTACAGAGGGGTCCCCGCCCACGGGGGCACAGACGCGGGGCTCCCTGCTGGGATTGGAGTCCGGCCCTCCTGCTTTGCGTTGCGTGGCCCTGAACAAGTCAAAAAGCCTCTGCGCTTCCTTTGCTCGCCCGTCACATAGGGGCAGTGACTGCGTGCCCCGGGGCAGTGACGGCGTCCCCCGGGTTTGTGTGAGTTTAGGAGGCGGTGGCAGGAAGCGTGTGCAGCGCCGCTCGTGCGTCCTCTCGGAGCCTCTCGGGGTCAGAGCTTTGGACACGAAGGCGGGGGGCTGGGGCCTCTCGGGGGCTGTGGGCATCAGAAGGCCTGCCCGGGCCGGGGGGGCCGGCTCCCCTGGGGACTCCCACACCTGGCGCCAGGCCTCGGCTCCTTCCCTGTCCTCCCGGGCATCCTCCCCACGTGGCTGCTGGCTTATCCGCCACCCCCGCCCCTCACGCAGCCACTCGGGGGCCAAGGGCGGACGGAGGGCATCCTCTGGAGTCACGTGGCCTCATGCCTGGCACAGCAGCCAGGCCCTTGTGCCCTGGTGTGCCCAGCGTGGCCACCCTGGAGGCCTCTGGAGCCCACTCCACTCGCATCCCGGAGAGCGTGGGGCCCGTCTCTGGAGGACCCAGCCGCGGTCGAGGCAAGCAGCCACTAGGCTGCGGCGCGGCCGGCTCTGAGAGTGCCAGGGCTCCGTCCCAGCCGTCTGCTTGTCTCTGTCCACGCGAGATTCCAGGGCAGCTCGCGGAACAAGTACAGCCATGAAATGCGAGCCTCTGGCTTCATCTTTGAAACCAAGAAACCAGGGTTGAAGGGAAGCGGGAGAAGCTGGCTGAGTCCCGAGGGGTCACCGCTTCTGCGTTAGAGACCAAAACAGAAGCCTTTCAGCTAAAAAAGGGTACAGCAGCTTGGGAGTTAAAAGACAGTAGTTGAAATGTTTTTATAGAGATTGAGTGTGCAGTTTTGATCTTTTAAGTAAGATGCTAAAAAAAGAAAAGAAAAATACCCATCATGCCTTTACCTAGAGATACTCACTATTAATATTTGTGTGCATCTCTTCTAGTCTTTTCTTTCTTCCTTTCTTTTATGCATGTGTGTATACGTTGTGTGGTGTGTATGTAAGGTGTGTGTGTGTGCATGTGTGTGTATGTTACGGGTGATGCCTGCGTGCACGGTGTGTCAGCTCCCCCGTCCGCCCCGTACGTACGTCACTCTCGGAGGGAAGGGCATGAGGACCCCTTGGGGGGGTGGCTGCAGATCTGGGCTCTGGTGTGAGCGCCGTGGACCCCTCCTCCGCCCGCAGCCCCTCACCCCTGGGGTCCCTGGCGCCCCACCTGACCGCCGGCCCCGTCTTTGCAGGACGGCTGTTCTCAGTGAAGGGCCCTGCACTCGCTACTGAGCTGTGGCCATGGGCCTGCTTGCCTTCCTGAAGACCCAGTTCGTCGTGCACCTCCTCATCGGCTTCGTCTTCGTGGTGAGCGGGCTGATCATCAACTCCATCCAGCTCTGCACGCTCGTCCTCTGGCCCGTGAACAAGCAGCTGTACCGCCGGCTCAACTGCCGCCTTGCATACTCGCTCTGGAGCCGTGAGTACCCCCTGCGTGTGCACGGCGGGGATCGGGGGGCCGCGGACAGTCAGGACGGCGCCCTTTCTGCTGGACGGTCCCGGACAAACCAGTGCAGGGCCCCTGGGGTGAACGCCTGTGGTGGTGAGACGAGACACCGTGGGCTGGCTCCCGCTCCCCGGCAGGAACCGGGGGCTGCTCCTGGCCAGTAGCTGTAGCGGGGGCGGGGTTTGGCCCGAGCTCTTAACTGGGCTGAACCACGTGACGGCCCGATCCCTGAGCCTCTGGACCCACAGAGGTGGCAGTTCCACGCGGTCTCACGCGGTCCTCTGGAGAGTTGGAAACGAGCAATGATAAAGTCAATTCACCATGACCAAGCCCTAACAGCTGCCGCCAATACGTGGCCAGTCTTGGGTCACCAGACCCCCAGTCACCCCCTCACCAGAGTACAGTGAAGCTACCCTCGGGGCGGCCCACCATCACATGTAAATGTTGCGGTACCTCTCTGCAAGAGGCAAGGACTCCCCCCCGTCTCTTAATTAAATGTATGTGTTTAGGCGTGTACAGGTGTTACCTATACGCCCTTGTGATGCGTGTGCATTTGTACAAACAGAATCAGTCTTCACCCATCAGCTGGACAGAGACTTAGAAGCTGCTGACGGGGGGCGTGGGGGGCCGCTTGCCCTGCAGGTTGGGGTCACGGGGCACATCTTTGGACGGCAGTTTGCCGGTAGCGATGGACAACTTACGCGGTTCTATTTTTTTACCTAAATATTCCACCAAATAAGAATGTAACCTAGAAAGATATCTGCAACAGTACATATGTGTGCAGATATTCTCATGTTACCACTTTTATAGTAACACAAGACTAATATAAAACGGAGCAGCCCAAATGCCCATTAATGGAAGCTAACTGTGGTGTGTCCACCGGATGGAATCCCACACGGCCACTAAGAACAACAGGGAGAATCTCTCTGTCCTGCTAGAGAGCCAAGTTCAAGATACATTTTTAAGTGAAAACAGAAGCGATAAAGCAAAGCACAGAGGGTGCTCTGCATTTATTTACTTTTAAGACACGTGTGTGATGTGTCTGCAGTTGTGTGTGGCCACCCCTGCTTAGAGAAAGCTGAAGGGTGAACAGAAGACGTAACCACCCCGGGAGTGAAGGAGGGCGGGGACTCGTGTTTATTTCATACTGTGTGCTGTTTACACTTCTTAGCATAAGAACGCGTTTCTTTTACAATGAAGAGAAAATAATACACACGTTACTTCCTATGGGAAGTGGTGAGTCTGTGTGCCTGTCCCTGTGACCCCTCCCAGTGCAGGAGCAGGAAGACAGCAGCTAAGCGGCCATAGGAGTGTCCACGCCCAGGTGTGTGCACCCCCCCCCACCCCGCAAGGTGCGGCAGCCCTGCCTGTGCTTCCAGCCGTAAATAGTCTAAACTGCGATAAATAAATAGCATAAACTGAGATAGTTTCAGTTCCCAGGCGGTTTTTTCCTAAATAAAAGGCCACCTTTATGTGTGTGTGAGAAGGAGAATTAGAAATCCTATCATAGAGGACATACAGTGGGAGATGAGTACATACCTAAAGGGCAAATGCCAACTAGATGAAAATCATAGACTCCACCTCCGGCAGTATTCTGAAGTTAAAACGCTACAAAACAGCCAAACTCTGGCGAATAAAGATGGTAATTATAATATTTTTTAAAAGTAAAAGCTTAGTGAATGAATGTTACAGCTTAGATTAGATACAGATTAGATACAGCTAGTGAGAGAGTGAGTGAACTGGACATTACTATGAAGAAATCATCCTGATCGCAGTAGAAAGACAAGATGAAAAATATAAAACAGGAGTTAAAAGATGTAAGGGGAGAGTGACAGTCTATGAAACAGGTCTTGGACTCCTGTACCCAAGGAAAGAATAAGCGGAAGCTCCATTGGAGGAAATGATGGCTGAGAATTTTCCCGAACGGATGAAAAACAAGATTCTGTAGCTCTAGGAAGCAAATGTAAACGAAGCAGGGTATATAAACAGAAGTTCACACTTAGACCCGTCACAGAGAAACCACAAACCACCAGAGACAAAAGGAAGATCTTAAAAACGCCCAGAAAAGAAAGCTAGACCACCTACACAGATTGACAGACTCCCAGCTGACTCGGCAGAACGTGTGTCATCAGAGCCAGAGGCAGTGGGCTGTCTCCAGCCTCGGCCTAGAGCTCTACATCCAGGAAAGTGCCCTTTCAGGACTGAGAATGAGATCAAACAGCCTGAGGGGAACAAAAAGTGAGTATATCGTCACCTGAGATTTTTTTAAAGAATATTCTTTAGTAAGAACAAAAGCCATCAGAGAAAGTAGGGTCTGAGTTACCAGAAAGACTGGTGGACTGAGAAATTGGTAAGTAGGTAAATCTAAACAGTCATATAAAATAATAACGATGCCCCAACCCGCGTGGCTGAGAGCAGACAGGACCAGCGGCAGGCAGTCTGTCAGTCAGGAGTGGCGACAAAAGTTCGGACTCCATCATTCTTGTATTTGTCAGGAAGACAGCAGAGATCTTTCCTTAAGACTTTGTTAACTAAGTATAGGGTAGAATACAGAAATCAAACATAACTTCTAAACTACTTGAAAAAGATGGATTAAAAAAGCAAAGACAAATTCATTTTTTAAGGCAAGAAAGTATAAAAAAGCATAAAAATAAGAAAACTTGAGGTAGAAGTTAAGATTTATGTAAAATCCTCCAATATTTGGAAGGAACACAGGTGCCCACTGAACCCACATGCTGTGAGAGTTTCCCCCAGGACCTGGTGAATCGGGGGGGCTTCTCCACTTGTCCATTTCTTAAATACACGAGCAGGGGTCCTTCCCGGATTTGCGCTGGTGAAAGCTTTCCCCGATCCCGTGGGCATGTGGGGTGAGCGAGGGTCACACCAATGTGTGGACCAGCGGCCCCAACCTTTTTGGCACCAGAGGCCGGTTTCATGGACGACAGTTTTTCCGCGGACGGAGGGCGGTGATGCAAGCGATGGGGTTCGCTAGCGGGCCAGCCGCTCACCTCCTGCTGTGTGGCCTGGTTCCTAACAGGCCGGGCACCGGTACCGGTTTGCGGCCCGGGGGTTGGGAACCCCTGGTGTAGGCGACCCTGAACCACTGCTTTATTTTCAACTCTGCGAGCATCCCTGTGTTCCTTCTGTGATGCCAGGTGTCTTTTGCTGTCCCCCCGAGCCCAGGGTGACTCGTCGTCCTCAGGCCCGAGGAGTCTTCGTGCTGTGTTAGGGGCACAGATGTGGACCCAGAGAGCCTGGCTGGGGCCCTGGCTCCCTGCGGACCTCAGCCAAGGCTCTCACCCTTCTCGTTTGTGAAATAGAGACGGCGCCTCTCAGCTGGACCATCAAGATTAAATTAGCGCATAGAACGTGCGTACAACACCATTAACGATTACTCTCAGTAGGCAAGTTTGAATTTTTCAAAAACTCATTCGTTGGAATGTGCAGAGCATGGCTTGCTCATGTGTGTTAGGGCAAGCATATGTTTGAATGAAGGAAATCACAAAAAAAGTCCTCATTCAAAATATTCTCCAAATTGACCGCGAGCACCTTCGCGGCGTCAGCCCTGGCCGCGTGCGTAGCGATCTACGATCTACGATCTACAAGAGACCGATGTGACTGGAAATGCGCTGAGCAGCCCACCGGGCCATGCTGGCAGCTGGTGGAACAGAGCTGCCTCGACACGTCGCTTTCCTGCAGGCAACCCTCTGCTGGGCTCACTCTCCGGGCAGGGCCGGGGTGGGGATGGGGCGGGGGCGGGTAAAATGCCTGCAGGGGCTGCCGGTGTTGTCTTCAGTTCAGTCCTGCTCACCAGCCCCACCTGGGCCAGACCTCTCGCTCTGGACCAGAAATGCCCAGGTCCCAAGTGCTGCCAGGGGAGGGTGTGCGGCCGGGGGAAGGCACCCCGCCCGCACCCCATGAGCACTTTCTCCCCTGCATCCTGGCTGCTGGCCAGAGCTCCCTCTCATAGAAGCCTGCCGTGTAGCGAGGAGGCCGTGTACCCGTGCAGGCCGCCCAGGGATGAGCGCACAGTCCCATGCAGTGGTCCTCGTGTGCCTGGACGGTGCCACGGGGTCGCAGCTCCGGCATCCTTTCCACCTGTGAGTGGCCAGCGGACGTGGTCCGTCCCCCGCAGGTGGCAGCTCTGAGCCGGCGCTGTGGTGTCCAGCAGCGTGATTTGCGGGTCATCCTGGGAGGCGGTCGTGGAAACGAGCCTTTAGATGCGGCGTCAGTGCCCTCGTGAGTGAGGCACGTGTTGTCAGGCCTAAGTGAAGAAATGACTTTGAAAGGTGGCTTTTTTAGAAAATTCCGTGTCTGGGGGGCGTTTAGCCTCGCACCCCTACTCGCTTCGTCCAGGACTTCCTCCATCACACACAGGGACGGCCGGGAGAGCCGAGTTCACTGGGGTCCTGAGCACCCCCTGCAGGCTCTGCATCCTCCCCAGAGGACGGCTGAGGTCCCTGCTCCTTGGACGAGGGGCCCGCAGGTCGGAGCAGCTCATCCAGGCCGCCACCCTCCCTGCCGGGTGATTTTTACGTCAGTGGGTTGAGGCTGTATCGATTCCTCTCAGACTTGTGGTGAGAAAGCATCGCAGGATTTCCGCATCAAAGAGACGGCCACACCTCAGCGTTCACTGCAGCATCGTTCACAATAGCCAAGATGTGGAAACAATGTCAGTGTCCATCAACGGACGAACAGATGGGCAAAATGTGGTCTATACGTACAAGAGAATGTTATTCAGCCTTTAGAAAGGAAATCCTGCCGTATGTGACAACATGGGTGAACTTGGAGGACAAGATGTGGAGGAGCCAGTCACAGAAGGACAGACTGCACTTGTCCTTCTTATATGAGGGGCCTAACGTAATCGAGCGCAAGGAAGCAGAGGAGTGAATGGGGGCTGCCGGGGCTGGGGGAGGGGAAGGGGCGAGCGCTGTCAGATGGGTGTGCAGCGTCAGTTACACACAGTGAGTAAGTTCTAGAGGCCCGCAGTTACCAGTACTGTACTGTCCACTCGGAATCTGTGAGGAGGGTAGGCCTCAAGTTAAATGTCCTCACTACAGGCTTCCCTGGTGGCGCAGTGGTTAGGAATCCGCCTGCCAACGCAGGGGACACGGGTTCGAGCCCTGGTCCGGGAAGATCCCACATGCCTCGGAGCAACTAAGCCCGTGCGTCACAACTACTGGGCCTGCACTCTAGAGCCCGCGAGCCACAGCTACTGAGCCCGTGAGCCACAACTACTGAAGCCCGTGCGCCTAGAGCCCGTGCTCCGCAACAAGAGAAGCCACAGCTCGCCTCAACTAGAGAAAGCCCACGCGCAGCAACGAAGACCCAATGTAGCCAAAAATAAATAAATAAAATAAATGTCCTCACTACGATAATGAATAAACCCTTCCTTGTTCCCAAGGAAATTGCTTCAGAAGCAGTGGCCTCAGCCACAGGCTCTTACCTGACCAGCTGACACATGGAGGTTTGCCCAGGCCTCCGTCATCGAGAAAGGGACAGGAACAGGCCATCGCCAAGCTGCACGCGCGTCTGTCTCAGCCCTGGTCCCCGCCGCCTGGGTGGGGTGTTCACCAAGCCCCCAGCAGCTGCCTGTGCTTCCAGATGGACGGGTCAGCCTAACCTTGGGCCTCTTTATTTCTTTTTTCTTTTTCTTTTAACGTTTATTTATCAGGCTGTGCTGGGTCTCAGTTGCGGCATGTGGGATCTAGTTCCCTGACCAGGGATCGAAGCCGGGCCCCCTGCCTGGGGAGTGCGGAGCCTTAACTGCCGGAGCACCCGGAAAGTCCTTGTTTCCGTCTGCTTTGTAATTCTTAAACAGCTATCAGGGGGTGAAATTCACCCATTTAAAGCATGCAGTCCGGCGGTTTGAGTGTATTCATAGAGTCATGGGCCCATCAGCACAGTCTAATCGTAGAACATTTTCACCCCATAAAGAAGCGGTCACCCCCCCCCCCCTTTGCCCCCCCCCCGGCCCCTGGCAGTCACTATTCTGCCTCCTGTCTCGGTGGCTTCGCCTCTTCTGCACATTTCATGCAAATGGAACCATGCGGTGTGTGGTCGTGTCTGACTCCTTTCACTCGGAGCTCAGCGTTGCCAAGGTTGGTCCACACCGTAGTGCGTGTGAGGCCCGCGTTCCCGCGTCCCTGAGAGACGTCACCCTATGTGGATATGCGCTGCCTGTTCATGCATCAGTTGGTGCACATCTGGGTCGTTTCCCCTTTGCGGCTTTGTGAATAACGCTGCCGTGAAGTTTTTGCACAGACGTCTGCCCTCACTTCTCCTGGGCATCTACCTAGTGGTGCAGTTGCTGGGTCCTCTGGCTACTCGGTCTGGAACATAGTTTTCCAGCGCGGCTGCACCTTTTGCGTCCCCACCAGCAGCGTTAGGGGTCCTAGGCACCCTTTCCTCACCAGCACCTGCTATTTACTGTCTATCCGTTAGATGACAGCGTCCCGGTGCCTGTGACGTGGTTGCCTCGCCGTGGCTTTGGCCTGCACTCTCCCGACGACTGGTGGTGCCGAGCATCTACTCGTGGGCTTGCCGGCCGTCTGTAAATCCTCTTAGGAGACCGTCTGTCCAGGGCCTCTTGTCTTTCCATTCCTCGGGTCTTTTTTCATGCCTTGAGTGCTGGCTGGAAGTCGCCAGGCTAACAGGTGCATCCCGGGGGGGAGTTTGCCTCTGTTGACCTGGCCTGCGTCCCCTCAGAGCCCTCTCTGGTCCCTTGATGAAGCTTATGGCGAGCATGTCCTGGAGCTGACCTCTTTATGACCCCTCCTCTGACTGCCCCGAGGGTAGGAGGGACCGCGGTTTGTGGTTCGAGAGTGTTCAGGTATTACCTGAGAGTCGGCCTTCCGTCCAGTCCCCGCCTTGTGTAGAAAAGGAAGTTCAGACGCCAGCACGTGGGGTGGAGCTGTGTGTCCCCCCACTTCCACCTGGGCTGGTGGGGACACTAAGTGGAAGGAGAAACCAGGCCCCGTGCCGAGTCCCATCCAGTCCCCCACAGCCCTGTGAGGAAGCCACTATTGTCTCCTGTCAACAGGGAAACCGAGGCCCAGGCAGTCAGGCTCAGAGCCCACTGTCTAAGCGCTGGGCTGTCCTGCCCCATCAGCCTTCCCTGGCCTCCCTCCCCGAGGGCCAGTCTCCGGAAAACCGATGGCTTGGTGTCCAGCAAACAAAGGACAGGCTGTCTGGTGGGCGTCCTGAGCCTGGGAGCCATACTTCCTGGTCTGAGGCCACCCTCCTCGGGCGCCTGGCCGTGGTGGGTGTGATACTGGCTGGCTGTGGGCCTGCAGCCTCCCCTTCCTGCTCTGCTGGGGACTGAACGTGTGCTATCCCGTCAGTGCACAGCACCTGTGAGAACTACAGTCGGACATGACGATAAAGGTATCCACCTGAACTCTTGTAAAGAGTAACGTGGGTAAGAGTTATAGTGCTTAACGTACATAAACTGAGGACCCCTTTGTAGCCTGACGAGGACCCCAGTTTATTTGTCTATTTCTGTGTTTTTAAGCTTCCTCTGAAACTTTCCACAGAGCCCCGGGCTCAGTGTGTTGGGCTGAGATTGGAACTCCACCACTTTTTATCTGTGCTTTGGGAATGATCATAGCACTAACTCAAGTCGCCTGAGAAGTAGATGACATAACGTATGTAATTTACATAGCAGAGCACGTGGTATCCTGTCGGTATTCAATGACTTGTAGTTGTTGATAATAATAGTAATATAATGCTGATGGTGTATTCGCTTAATAAGCGAATGCTTTGCTCACCGTGCCATCCTATGGGACATTTGATTTTTAAGAAAAGCGAAGATCTGATTTTTAAGAAAAAACGTTTTAAATTAAGTCCTTTAGATATGTTGGTCAGAAAAACTTCCACCTGAAACGGGTTCCCTCCTCCATCTCTTCTGCGTTCATTTGACTTCTCCCCTGACTTTTGCTTAGAGAAGCGTCATTAGAATTTCAGAAAACTTAATTTTAAACATAAACCATCAAAACTCATTTCTAGCCGAAAATGCCAGTCGGGCTGATACCGTACAAGCCCTGCCCACGTCAGGGAGCGGGGGGGGGGGCCCGGCCCGGAGTGCGGTGGTCTGCGCCTCGCCGACGTCCCTCCCTGTGTGTCCTCAGAGCTGGTCATGCTTCTGGAGTGGTGGTCATGCACGGAGTGTACCCTGTTCACCGACCAGGCCACGGCGGGCCACTTCGGGAAGGAGCATGTGGTCATCATCCTGAACCACAACTTCGAAATCGACTTCCTCTGTGGGTGGACCATGTGTGAGCGCTTTGGCGTGCTGGGGGTGAGCGATGTGGGGTTCCCGGGAGGGAGTGGGCTGCGAGACGCGGGGGTCGCAGGAGGGTGGGGTAAGTGACGTAGGGTCCCAGGGAGGTGCTGGCATGGCTCCCTGGGGTCTGGCCTTCCCTCTGGTTTAGCCCCTGGTCCCTGCAAGCTAGAAGTCCCAGCATGGCTGACCGCAGGGCACCTGGGACTGCAGGCTGCCCCCAGCTGCCCCAGGGCTTGCTCATGAGACGAGGTGTTACTGCGTTTCCTCTCAACTCCTTCCTCCCCTGGTTGGCTCAGCTGCCTCAGATGAGATGGGATGAGGGGTCCCCTGCGGTGGAAGCGCAGTGCATGGCGGCCCTGGCATCTTCCTTGGGGAGCCCCGGGCCTGGCGGCCAGCGCAACCTCTAGGTCCTTGGCTCCCGTGCTGCCCGCCTGCCCGCGGTTTCCCCATCTGGTGGCGCCTGCACTCTGGGTCCATGCTTACCTAGAGCGTCACACTCAGAGGCAGGGTCTCTCGAGGACAGCCAGTCCTGGGGGCGGCCTGCGGGGGCGTGCCCTCGGGGACCTTGTGGTCCTGATGCGCCAGCTGCTCTGCCCTCCCCCCAGAGTTCCAAAGTCCTGGCTAAAAGGGAGCTGCTGTACGTGCCCCTCATCGGCTGGACGTGGTACTTCCTGGAGATCGTGTTCTGCAAACGGAAATGGGAGGAGGACCGGGATGCCGTCATCAAAGGGCTGAGGCGCCTGGCTGACTACCCCGAATACGTGTGGGTGAGTGAGGGGTGAAGCCACACGGACCGTGTTGTCTTGAGTCTCGGGCGCAGCCTGAGTTCTTAGTGGTGAGCCGGCAAGAGCCTCTGAGCACCAGGGAAGCTGTCTGAGGAGGGCGGGGCCCCGCCCCTCTGAGCCTGCAGGCTTGGGAACCCCTCTTGGACCACCTGCTTCCACCTGCCCCAGGTGCCGCCACGCCAGGGGCACTGCCGCCCCTCCCACCCGGCCCCACTCAGAGCAGAGCCTGCGCGGCTGAGCCGGGGCTCCCTGGAGACGTTAGCGTTCCGCCGAGTCGGGGCTCAGGACAAGCCCTCGTGGGCTATGGTTCTGTGGGTCGACGTGGACTTCAGTTGCTAGAAGGTTTGCGCTGCACTTAAATCAGCCACCCTTCAAGGGCAGGGCAGGGCCCTGGGGGGCGGGGCTCTGGTGGTCCTCTCTGAGCCCCTGGATGGAGTTTGATGGACAGCCATCTGAAATGATCGGTATCGATCGGTTTGCATATCAGTTCCGGTCTCTGACGGCAGTTCCTTATTTGGTGTCTGTAACTCACCAAGGCAAAGGGATAGAAGACTTTGTTTTCCACTCGCCATCGGAAGGCTGCTGCCTAGGGATACCTTGTCTCACTCTCTCCGGGAAGTGTCTTTTCATTCCCTGAGAACAGGTGCAGGGCTGTTGCTGTCTGTGAAGGAGTCGTGTGCACAGTGTGATTGCGGCATCTCTGGTGATGCCCCGCTCTGGTCGCTGGGGGGCGACATTTCCACAAGACTTTGCCGCCAGGCGGGGGCACGTACACGGGCGATAAGGAGCCTGTCGGGCTCCAGTCCCGGTCGCCAGCAGCGCACTGACCTCCGTCCCCTGTCTGTGTCTTAGTTTCTCCTGTACTGTGAGGGCACGCGCTTCACGGAGAAGAAGCATCGGGTCAGCATGGAGGTGGCCGCCTCCAAGGGGCTGCCCGTCCTCAAGTACCACCTGCTGCCTCGGACCAAGGGCTTCACCACCGCGGTCCAGTGCCTCCGTGGGACAGGTAAGAGCCACCCGCTGGGACTCTCTCCAGCCCGGGCTCCAAGCGAAGCAAGACGTGAAGTCAGTGATTTGCCAAAAACCAGATCAGTGAGTTCCGTGTAACATACAGGATGCCAGTGGCGTTAAAGGGAGAACTGGGTACTCAGATTTACATGTTGTAAGATTCTCGTATCAGTTTTTGAGGTGATAAAGTACTAGTTAGTGGAAAACAATTAAAATGACAATAAAAAAGGTATATAACTGAAAACCTTATAAAGGAAAAAATATATATCCAGTTAATCCAAAAGGAAGGCAAGATGAAAGGGACAAAGGACAGGATGGATAGGAAACGGTCACTTTAAACACGAACGTGCCCGTAAGTACGGTAGATGTGACTCAACTAGATGCCCCAGTAAGAGAGGAGAAGTGGCAAATGGAGCAATCCAGGTCAGGAGCCGCAGTGGCTCTGCTGCAGGATGTCAGCTGGCACCTGTCACCCTCTGCCCCTCTCCCTGCAGTCGCAGCTGTCTACGACGTCACACTGAACTTCCGAGGAAACAAGAACCCGTCTTTGCTGGGGATCCTCTACGGGAAGAAGTACGAGGCGGACATGTGTGTGAGGTGAGCAGACAGGTGCCCACAGGGGCGGGGCCGGCAGGTGGGTGGGACTGGGGCCAGCTCCTCCCACCTCCTGGCTGCCTCCTGGCGGCCCCCATGTGGAGGTGGCGGGCATTCCACCCTCCAGGGCGGGCACACGGTGGGGACAGTACAGAGCAAAGGAGTGGGTGCGACTTACAGGAGGAATGTTCCAGAAGCTCCGAGGGAGGCGTGACCCCTCCCAGTGGAGGGAGCAGAGGCTTTTTGGAGGAGGCTTCTGAGCTAAAACTTGGACAGCAAGTAGGACTTTAATAGACAGGAGAAGGACAAGCTGTCCCCGCCTGAATGGGACGCACACGTGTCCCCCTTTTCATGGTGTACAGCCACGCAGACCACCTGGGAGAGAAGGTGGGGTCAGGGCCACAGGCTGGGCTTCGGGCTCCTGGCTGCCTGGTCTGAGCTGGGAGGCTCCACCCCGCCAGCCTCCACCCCATTGGCTCAGAGGCAGCCGCGCCCACACTGAACTGGTGAACGCAGGGCAGCTCTGGATGGCCCCCGTGGGACACCCGAGGATGCCCCAGAAGAGAAACTCCGCCCGAGGAGGGGCCCCATGTGGCCCTTAAAATGCCCCCAGGTTATCGGAAGCTGTTCCCGTTGGTCTGTGCAGTAAGCATTTATTGCGTGTCTGCTCTATGCACAGTAAGGGGGTAGAGGGATCAGAGAGAAGGGAGCTTCTGAAAGGATTCACTGCTGCGGAGGCAGAAACCTGCTCGGCGGGCGGGGCTCCAGGCGCCACTCCGGGAGCAGAGGAAGGGAAATGACAAAGTGACCGTCTTTCTCTCCAGTTTGTTGGGCCATAATGGGAGAGGCCACCTGCACCCTGTCCTCCCACCTCCGGGGAAGCCCTTGTGGCTGACTCCGCCCCCTCCCCGCCCCCCCACGGTGCTGACCTTTCACCCCTGATAGAAACCCGCATCTCTCCGAGCTGATCAGTGCAGGGTCTCCCTCCCCAGGAACATTACGGCCTGACGCTGCACTGCTTATGGAGTGACTTTTGCTGGCACTGGTGGCTTTGGCCCAGAGGGGCAGGGATCTCAGGGTCAGAGGGGAACAGAATCCCTTTGGGGTTCCATCCTGAGTGACTCGTGGTCTTTGTGAAACGTCCAGACGTCCAGGGCCACCGGCAGAGCCTGAGGCTCCGCTGGGAGAGCGGGCTCCATGTCTGTAACACAAGGTCAAGGTCAGGGACTAGGGCTGTGGCCGGAGGTCGCTGTGTCTCTCCGCCACACCACGCTCTGATGCTCGATGGTTTTCTGCCTGGTGAAGAGAAGATGATCCACCCAGAAGTCTTTTTACCTTAAAGCACAGCCCGGGGGCTGCTCTGTTCGTTAAGTGGTGCTCTGACCTGATTCCAGCTCCAGGCCTAATTCCAGGCAGGCCTTCCGGGTCCACGTGTTGTCTGGGTCATCCTGTTTGAACTCGCCAGTCTCCTGTTTCACTCACATGTGCCCAGAAAGGCAGGACATTCCTGTGTGTATAAACCACATAGCCCCGTCCCCGTGTCGGCCACTGACTGCCACCGACTTGGTGTCCATCCTGGTTACTCTGACCCAAGGAGGCTCTGACCGGCCCTCTTTCTTGAGAGCTTGAGCCAGGACAAGTTTTAAAAAAAATACCACTCAGTTCTGCTGCCCCAGTGTAGGAAGTTTCCAGGAATAATTTTGTGAAGATAAACAGGAAGCTGGGTGGCTTTTTCCCTCTGACGTTCACAGAGGACTAGCTCAAAGTCGCTGTAGGGTCTCTTATTCCATCCCGGGATCAAGGGAGAGCCCAGGACCCTTGCCCTTAGCTCTCTAGAACCCCTGGCCGGGGGCTGACCACTGGTGGCCAACAGGGAACGGGTGATTTTTCTGGGGCCCTGGATGGTCCCGGTCATCCTCACGGGAGCCCTCAGAGGCAGACCCTGCTCTTGTCCCTGGCTAGGAGGGCTCTGGCAGCCTTAAAGGCCGCCCGCGATCAGAGCTGGTAGGTGGCAGAGCTGGGGGAGCCCGCCTGGTCCAGCTGCAGGCCAATGCTCACACCACCCTCCAGGCTATAGCGCCCCTCCCCGTGGGCACCCAGCTCCAGCTGGAGAGGAGTGGTGCTTTAATCTGCTCGTTTTCCCCTTTGTTGCAGAAAATGTGAGGCTATATTTCACCCAATCATATCTTAATAAATATATTCTTAGAATTTCTAAAAGTTTCAACTTATTGTTTTGTATTACCAAACGGGTGTCTTGAGTAGAAGCAATATCCCAGTGAGTCCAAAACATACCTGTAATCAAAGAAGACACGGTTCCCGTGACCCGGTGGAGTTGTGCCTCATTTCCCCGGGGGCCTGAGGCTGGGCGTGGCCGGGGCCTTGGGGGTGGTGGCTTGAGGCTCTCCTGTGTCCGTGCTGGCAGTCGGGGCCAGCGTCCTCAAAGTGGAGTCAACCCCAGAGTTGTATTTATGTTTTATCTCATCATTTAAAACTCTTATTTTATATATTTTGTCCTGCATATAACAGACATACAACAGAACCTGTATGTGGTAATGTGAAATCAGGGGAGAACAGTCACGTGAGTTTGACACTTTGGGCCGTCATCCCTCTGTGGACAGACCCCTTCCAACTTCCTTTCCTTCCTGAGACGGCACCTGTGGCAAACCCTTCAAGTGCTACTTCTCACTGTGTACTCCTGGAGGTCCCCAGCACCTTTCGGGTCCACAGAGTTAAACCATTTTGTTTACTAGGAGGTTCTAAGTCTTCTTCTGTCCTCTGAGCGTACAGCGGAGTCTCCCAGAGGCCGCGTGACATGTGGCCCAGCATCGCTCGGATGTCTGGTTGTGTGTGTGCTTGTAAAACTGGGAAGTTTTACAAGATGGATGGTAAAGATGGGTCGGTATAACCCACAAAATCCAAAGTTCTCAACTTTTAGAGACAAGAAGGTAGGGCTTTGGGCTTTTTCGTGGCGCAGTGGTTAAGAATCCGCCCGCCAATGCAGGGGACATGGGTTCGAGCCCTGGTCTGGGAAGATCCCACATGCAGCAGAGCAACTAAGCCCGTGCTGCACAACTACTGAGCCTGCGCTCTAGAGCCCACGAGCCACAACTACTGAGCCCGTGCACCACAACTACTGAGCCTGCACTCTAGAGCCCGTGCACCACAACTACTGAGTCCATGCACCACAACTACTGAGCCTGCACTCTAGAGCCTGCGTGCCACAACTACTGAGCCTGTGTGCCACAACTACTGAAGCCCACGCGCCTAGAGCCCGTGCTCCACAACAAAAGAAGCCACCATAATAAGAAGCGTGTGCACCACAACTACGGAGCCTGCGCTCTAGAGCCCGCGTGCCACAACTACTGAGCCTGCGCTCTAGAGCCCGCGAGCCACAACTACTGAGCCTGTGTGCCACCACTACTAAGCCTGTGCTCTAGAGCCCGCGAGCCACAACTACTGAGCCCGTGTGCCACAACTACTGAGCCTGCTCTCTAGAGCCCGTGTGCCACAACTACCGAGCCTGTGCGCCACAACTACTGAGCCTGCACTCTAGAGCCCGCAGGCCACAACTACTGAAGCCTGCGCGCCTAGAGCCCGTGCTCCGCAACAAGAGAAGCCACCGCAATGAGAAGCACCACACCGAAGAGTAGCCCCCGCTCACCGCAACTAGAGAAAGCCCGCGCGCAGCAACGAAGACCCAACGCAGCCAAACATAAATAAATAAAAATAAATTTATTTTAAAAACCAAAAACGTTGAGATCCCTAAAAACATGGAGATTTGCCTCTGGCCGTGGACTTTTCTCGTGGCTCTGCTCTCACCCTGGGCCCTCTGAGGTGGGCAGCCAGCCCCCAGGATGACCGCGGTCCCTTGTTAAATGACTGTTGCTCACACGTGCGCTCAGCGGCCCCTTCTGGCGATCCCGAGGTACTACAGTTGCCGTAGAAAGCGGTCCTTGCCCTCCTTGTGTTACCGGGTAGACGCCCCCCCTGGTGGGGCTGGTAATTCAGCTGGCGACAGGGCTTGTACAGAGGTCAGTGTCATCATTGACGCCAGCCGTTTGTTAATTGAGATTAAAGTTTCGAAATCTCTACTGCTTTTCATACTTGAAGCAAATGGATTTCATTTGTGAAACACAAACTCTTCTTTGCCTCATAACAGACGCTCAGCTGTGGTCACTCCCAAAGAACAAACTATTAAGAAAGACCAAAACTGCTTAATGAACGGTCAGTTTTCCCAACGGAGCTGGGGGCGTAATCTGCTCAGCTCAGTGCTTCTGGGTGTCCCCGGGCGAGGCTTCCGCGCTCCCGGGCACACGAAGCACCTCCCGGCCCCTCCGTGGTTCCCTGCAGTCCCACCAGGCACGGGGGAATGCCCGAGAAGTTACTTTGATGTGTGTGTGTCTTTAGAAATTGAGAGTCAGATTTGAATAGAAAAGGCAGGGCTGACAAGTAACCCTGATGTATAATGATTTATTTTTCCTCTTTTCAGTTTGATGTCATCTGGTAATTGACTTTGCTTTCAATCTTCTTAATAAAACAGGAGATTTCCTCTGGAAGAGATCCCGCTGGATGAAAAGGAAGCGGCTCAGTGGCTTCATAAACTCTACCAGGAGAAGGTAAAGGCGCTCAGCTCTCCCCACACCCACCCTCTTCTCGGGGTCTCACGAAGAGGTTTCAGAGGGGCAGCTAACAGGGCAGGCAGGTAGCACATTGGCTTCCTCTGGAGACAGGAGTGCCGTGCCACTCTCAAATTCTTCTTTCCAATTCTCTTCTTCGTCTTTCATTTTTCCTTACTTTTGAGGAATTAACAAACTAGAGAAAAGTGTAATGGATATCATAATGCTTGTATAACCATTGGCAATAACATTTTATCACATTTGTTTCATTTTTTCATGTAAAGAAATTAGACATATAACACGCATTATGTACGTGTGTATGTGTATATATATGATTTAATAGGTAAGGCACAATATAGATGATGGGACAGGCTTCTTATGATGACCCCACCCGGTCCCTCCTCCATCCCCCCCAACATGCTTCACCCCCCCCTTTATACTGTGTGTTTAAAGTTTATTTTATACACACAAACAGGACACTAGGTTATCATCTTCAGCAATAGGGGAGGCTTGGATAATCAGAAAGTCCTACTAGTATAAAACACATATCCTTTTAGACGCATTGACAAGTGCTGAAGAAAGGAAGGGAAATCTCTAGGGAGCAAAAGAGGAGGTGGGACTGAAATCCAGGTGGGAAGGCTGTGAGCTGAAGCTCCAGGAGTTTGCTGGTCCACCCAACCTGAAGGCTTGAGTTTTAATGCCTACATGGAAGCAGAGAACAAAGATTTGACCTCACTTGGGGCTGGAAGTTGGAACTGAAGACCCTTATGAAGCTGGGACCCTCTGGGAGTTTTGCCCTCAGGTGGTTCAACTGGAAAATGTAACTGCCAGCATAGGAAGTGACTTTGAAGTTGCCTTCCCCCCCCTTGGTCTCTAAATGTCTCCCTGGTAATTCATAATCACAACACTGTCCTCAAACAGCTGTGGGGATTGAAGTTATGCTAACAGCATAGCTCAAAGTATCCGCATAAAGAGTGGTTTTAGGTGAATCTCTCTAGAGCCCCTGAGAAAAGCACATGGAAAACTAGAAGAACACGACTCCAAACCTAAGCTGCCCGAGATTTCTTCAGAACAATTCTGCTGGAGATGCGCTCATAACCAAAACCCACGATGGGCAAGTACAGCAGACAAACAGAAGAATTAAACCCGCCCGAAACTTCCGCTAGTGGAACTACCAGGCAGACTCAAATCAGTATGTTTGAAATGATTAAGCAAAGAAGAAGGGATTGAAAACAGAAGAACAAGACCGATTAAAAAATGAGACAGCTTTGAGAAAAACCAGGTGAAATGTGTAGGCATGAGAAATCTACTAACTGACGGCAAACGAGATACAGCTGAAGAGATAATTAGTGAGCTGGCAGGTTTTGAGGACATCACTCAGAATGCAGCACAGAGGAAGTGAAAATGTAAAAAGGAAGTTTAAAAGATCTAGAGGATAAACAGAGGTCGAGAATGTAACAATTAGGGAGTCCAGAGGAGAAGGTGGGAAGAATGGTGAAGAGCAGTTGTCAGAGATGACCATAAAACTTCTAGAATTGGGGCTCCCCTGGGGCGCAGTGGTTGAGAGTCCGCCTGCCGATGCAGGGGACACGGGTTCGTGCCCCAGTCCGGGAAGATCCCACATGCTGCGGAGCGGCTGGGCCTGTGAGCCATGGGTGCTGAGCCTGCGCGTCCGGAGCCTGTGCTCCGCAACGGGAGAGGCCACAACAGTGAGAGGCCCGCGTACCACAAAAAAAAAAAAAAACTTCTAGAATTGATGAACATGGGTTTTGTCAGCTTCAAGAAACCCAAGTCTGGAATAGGATAGATACAAAGAATGTATACAGTGTACATATATGTGTGTACACATATGCACACATATACATTATACAAACATACACAAGATAGAGTAAACCTAGAGAGAGAACAAAGAAAGTAAAAATAGCGTAAGTTATTGAAGCACAAAGCAAAGCTACAGAAGAGTGAATCTACTGCACCAAAAGCTTTTCTTTAAAAATATTAATAAAATAGAAAGCCTTGGGCAAGACTGACCAATTAAAAAAGAGTGCCGGCATTAATGGGAACAAAAACGGTGACACAACCAAAGAGCAAGGAGTGAAAGTGGTATGAGCAGTATGACAACTTTATGCTCCTACATTTGAAAACTTGGATGAGATGTGTGATTTCCAAGAACAATAGAACTCTCCAGAAGAAAAGGAAACCTAAATAAAAAGGAATAGAGTGTGTGTGCTTCACATGGTGGACGCGCAGAAAGACGTTGTGTGCACGAGGCTGCAGAAGAGAACGCATCTCTGGATCAGGGTCAAGTTTTAAAAGTTTGAAGGGACTTCCCTGGTGGTCCAGTGGTTAAGAATCCACCTTCCAATGCAGGGGACGTGGGTTCGCTCCCTGGTCGGGGAACTAAGATCCCACATACTGCGGGGAAACTAAGCCTGTGTGCTGCAACTACTGAGCCCATGGCGCTCTGGAGCACATGCGCCACAACTAGAGAGAAGCCTGTGCGCTGCTACGAGAGATCCCACGTGTCACAGCTAAGACCCAACGCAGCCAAATAAATAAATATTTTGTAAAAAAAGTTTGAAACTCTTACAAAGAGTGACATTTGCAATCAACAGTATTTGTTTAGCAGGAAATGAGAAATAACCCAGAAGTGCATTATTAGGAAATAGATACGTTATGCATGTGTATTCATTTACCTGTGAGTCAGTTAAAATGAATGAACTGCACATTATGAATCTTGAGAAAGTAGGTGTAAAGGAAAGCAGATTGCAACAGGCGTATAATGTGATGCTATTCTCAGAAAATCACCCAGCACAGGCGCAGTACCGTGCATTAGCGTAGAGGTACCTGCACACAGGGGTGCAGGTGTAAGCCCTTCCTGGGGATGGAGACCACCAGCTGAGTGTGATGACTCCTGGCGGGGATGGACCACAGGCCTTGTCTCCATCTCTAAGGGTTACTTTCTAAAACAACCTGATGCAAATACAGCAAGTGACAGGTTTTGACATAACTGATTTATTTGGGTATTTTCTATTATTTGCTATGTTTTTCCATAATATTGAAACATACACATTTTTTATCGCTTTTCATGTCACTTATATTGTAATTTGCATCAGGGACCGCACTGTGTGTCACGTTCTCCCGTTCTGTTTTTAGTGACCATTGTCTGTTACATCTTTCAGCGTTGACAGAGCTTTAATTCACCCCTTTAGATGCTGTGCTCCACTGTGTGTGTTTCCCATGTGATGACGCCCCGTTTTGCTAGTCGTCTTCCTACCTGTGAACACTTATGAACTATTTATGAACTTTCTGCTGTTCCCCACGCGGCAGGGCACGTGTGGGAGCGTTTCTGCCAGATGTTAACGCTGTGACTGGTGGTAGGAGGCTCTGGTCCCTTGTGAAATGTCTCTAAGT